TGATCATGTGACAATTTATTCAGCTATGGCTCAAGATATTATTGGTCTACCTTAAAGAATAAAAGAACCAAACCATCAAGTAGCGAAACTAAAAGTAAAGTATGCTCATACTGAACCATCCAATCATCTATGTACTAGATATAAGCAAAGATTAAACGCCTGAAAAACACATGGATTATTCTGGAGCACATTCGGTAAATGTGTGCTCCTTAATCTATTGATAGTCATTTCTACACATCTAGAAAGTTTAAGTCTAAAAAATCATGACTGGGTTGGGGGGATTCTTAACTATTCTTGTATATTCGTGCGTTTGTGCCCGATTTTACCTGACCTGAGGGTAAAACTTTTGAAAATCCATTTCTATTTCCAGTAGGAGAAGGGACCCCGATTATTTGGCTAATGTATCACCATTTTTTCAGGAATAGCTAGGAATCCAGAACGAATTAATTCTAAATAACCATATGGATGAAATTTAAAGTACTTTAAGCATAGCATCCAGTGGAACATAATGTCGCCCAGCCCACATCTCCGGACTACCAAGAGCAATTTTGGAATCCATAGCTACAACGGCCCTCTCGATGCTGTGGTCAAGTATCAGATGCCAGGCAGAACTAGTAGCCACCATTTCTGCGGTACACACAAAGAAAAAAAACTGCTTATAAGAAAACCAGATTTAAGTAATTTGTCAAAATTAATATCAACAACTGACCAGACATCCAACGGAAATATTTTTGAGCATTGAAATCAAACATTCGGTTAAAGGTTTCAACCAAAGAAGGCAGAGATTTCTTATGAAAATAATCAAGTTATATCAGATTGTATACAGGTTTTCATTTGTGCTGTTTTGTATCCAAAATGCAAATGTATCCAAAAAACGATGATCGCTCGTCGCATCGCTTTTTCACTCGTTTCTTAAAAATTTGCCAAATCAAACTTGTGACTAAAGTGGCGGCTATTAATTTATTTATACTTATATTTATTATAACTCCCAATTCTCACATGAGTCTAACATAGTTGCATGAGAATAATTAGTATTAAAACTTGCCATTTTTTGGTTCGGGGCAAATTTCATATACAATTTTTGGTATTATTTATAATAATTCATATGTAATAAAATTAATAAAATATATAAACAAAAATACTAGATGTTAGGTACAAATGTATTTTGTACCTAAATTTTCGTCTTGTATGTTTCCATGCACTTCCAGACGACTTTCATGTTTGAGTGCTTTTCGATTATCTAATCGTATCTGTAAACTGCAAAATCAGGATAGCTTGTTTTTTTTTTCTTAAAAAACAAATCCTTGACGGTATATCTAAGCACGTTGGAGACAAAGGTTTTGATATGTTTGTGAGATTATCGCTATATATTATACCAAATGAAATATTTTTCTTATTATCTTGCTGGTAATTTTCATTCAGCAAAAAAGAATTTCAATTCCAAATTAAATTTTATCATCCGAACTAGCACAAGATTACTTCTTTATTATATATCAAAAACATGAGTCGTTAAAATATACAGGGCTTCTCATGAATTTCGTTGGTTCGAAATTTTAAATGTTACAAAAAACATGTGGGGTATTCGGGATTCTCTTTCGCTTTAAAAAGCAGAAAATTAAGATATCGTACCACTTCCGATTGAATTGAAAACAGCCTTATCTGTATTATCATATTATCCCATTTTTGGATTACTAAGAAAATTTCATGCAAGTTTCCATCAGATTTACCTATTCCTAGTTTTAGCAGTTTCTTGCGTGGGGTTATACAGGCTTTTCTTCCGTTTTAAAATATCTTGAAGGTAAAACTTTTAGATGTCCCGGAAATGTCAAGCAGATCTATAAGTAATTCCAATAGTTTCCTAGACATGATTATCTTTAAAATTTGACAACTAATTACATTACAGTTGCAAAATTTCGTTTTCATAAATACGACACCGTGTATATTATCGAACGCAGAATGGAGCATAATTTAAAATTCCATTTTTAAGTACATTGCTTGAATACTCTCTCAGATCTTAGAAATTTTTGGAAAATCTTTGTTTAGTAGGTACTATAGTCAAAAGCAAAAAATTAACCGGGAACTTTGGGACTGCAAAAGTATTCCAAAATATTATTTTAAAATTTTAAAAACGTGCTGGAACGAAATTTATAATTACGAACGCCCTAAATCCCCCTATATTTACGTAACTTACCTATACTTAAATTGTTGTATAAGTAATTAAATAATTTAACCTCTTTATTTCACATACAGGGTGAAATAGGCCCGCTTTTTTTATTATCGAAGACTACGGAAATGGGGTTATATTAATTAGTAGTCCAATATTAATGTAGACATTTTTTCCGTTATTCTTATAAAAGTAAGTTCAAGAATACTTATGTTTGTAGTAGATGGGGTTGAATTTATTCTGTATCAATTTTTAAACTAAGTAAATAAATCAGTAAATTAAATAAATAATCGCAAAAACGGATTTTTTTGTGGACCTTTATTCGGGTTATTTTTCACAACACACTTCGCGGCATGATGCAAACATTCTCAGATTACAACAAAATGCTGTGGACGGTCGTTTTGATCTCCTGACGATTGCCGGTGGTAGACGCAAATCAGACACCATAAAATTAAAAGTAAATAAGCGGTTACTCTTCGTTTCATAAGTAAAATGAAAAACTCGCGTTGCGGTTTATGTGATCTAAAATTGGCATGTAAAAATAAATGAAAGTGTAGACGCGATAATTGAAATGAGATTTGTAATTTAAAAAAAAAATGTGAAATAGATTTTTTTGAAATGTCAATTTTTTTTACGGACAATTAACAAGAAAAATTACACATTGCTACAAAATATATGTATAAATAAACAGATGTTAAAAATGTAACTGGAATTTATACTTCAACCAGAAATGTAGTGCTTTTGCAACTGACCCCGTGATTAACTTTGCCTACTCTTTATTACTTCAAAACCGCAGCCCCTTATAGTAACCCGTAACCATTCCAGGGCAGTCCTAGGAATTTATGTACCTACACTAACAAGCGGGATATAAATATGTTTACAATCTTTTTCGCCGAGCAATTCTTGAAATTCTGCGTTATTTTCCATGTCTTCTTCTAATCAATTTCATTCCACGGTCTCCACATTTTAAAGTGGTAAACAACAGGAACCTTAAAAAAATGTTTAATTGTAAAAGTCTAATAAATATTTCTCTGTATTCTTATGACGTACCTTTACCTATCGCGAATATAATATATAGTCTTAAAAAAGAATCAAATAACTATGTAAAAGACACAAAAATACAAGAAGTATGTTGTTAATCGACAGGCACACAAAAGAAAAATGATTATTCTCAAACTTACATGAAATATAACTAGAGTTTGAACTTTCCAGTTAAAACAGCCTCGCAGGTTTAAAGCTCGAGAATCAGGAACATAAATACGTACTTACTGGAAGGATCACAGTGAAATTCCTCCGTAATATACACGAACATATTGCAATTTAGATTAAACTCTTAAGAACGATACAGATCACTTGATGTTAAAATAAACGCTTCTACTTATTCGAAAATATCCCGCAGTATCAACGCAATTAATTTTAAAACGGTCCGTTTACGTTTCAAATAAAAATTTCAAGTTTCTACAAATATTTTTTAAGGGCCATCGCAAGCAAGCAAGCAATGCAAAATAAACATCTGTTGGGATGGATTTTACCACGGTTCTGCGAAGATCTGCGGTTAAGGTACTGTAAAATACTTAAAACGTCAAAATAATAAATGCACTATATTTTTGGTCGTATTATAACTACTTAGTCAGACGTATTGTGCTTCGCAACGTATATCGTGTTGCATTATAACCAATAACGATTTTATTACCTATTATTATTGAGTAATCCCATTACTAAATAATTTATTCTTACTTGGAGTTACAGAATAGGAGTCCATTCCTAATATCTACCGGTCCGAAGTTCCTTTGGCTTCCGCAGTTAACTTATATTTATGGAAAAGCCAACACTATATATTTTGAGTCAAACTATAACTACTGGTTCGCTTGGTTGATTCCAACCAAACCTCTTTTAGCTGTACATTTAAGCGTAATTAGGTATATACTTCAGATAAAACTTATGACACTAATATTACAACTTTTCGCATTAGGTACAGCCTATTCCGAACAAATACTTCGATTTTGTTTTGTTGAATTTGCTTATAGCTAGCCGCAACTATAGTTACACATTGTGGGTTTTTAATTTAATGCATATTTTTTTACATTTTTGCATCTCTCTTTACATCTCTGTCCTTTCGCTTGTCTGTATTAAATTTTAGATTTCGCCAGACGAAGATGCTATTCCAACTTCCACTTATTTCTGCGATTCGAACATAACCTAGTATTTTTGACTTTTTTTACAGTTGGAAAGCCTGAAGTTTCGGTCGTTATTAATTTATCTTATTCAACTTGGATTTTAGGTTTCCAAAATAATGTGCGAAAAACTCTTGTCAACAAGAGGAACTTATTTGAAAATGTTTATGATCTGTATAGTAGTAAATAAATCTGTTTCGCCTCATTCAGGGAGGAACCCTTAAGTCTTTTGCTTCTTATGTTGTTCATATTTCATTCATTTCTAGAATGCAAAAAGCGTCACTGTACCACGTAAGTTTCTTGCCCCACGGATTCGAGTTCTTTCTGTTATATCCGGGGTTTGGGAGCAATCGGATGTTATTGGAGATTTTACGGCATGGCTTGAATTTTGACGTCAGTGAATGTAACATGTTGTTTTTACCAAAATGTACGCAAAGGCTAACGGTCGTAAAAAAAGTATATTACGCAACACGTTTGTTAAACTTTTAAAGTGAATCGTTTATTAAACACTCGCCCGCCGCGCTCCGTTCGTGCCAAATAGACTCAAATAGCGTTTACCGCACTTATTGCATAATATACTATTCTACCGTTTTTATATTCACAATGTATAACAATTATAAGTAAATCATTTTGAAATAGTCATTTAACCCAAGATGGTGAACTTCTTTATTAATAGAGACGTGGATAATACCATTATCCTAATCTAATTCACTACGTTCGCTCTCACTCTGGTTAGAGTTATATAACTCATCTTCCGAACTATAAATACGGCCCGACTGTTTGTTTTTTGTACCTTTACTGTTTTTTTTAAGTTGCCTTCTTTTTTCTTTTTCACATTTTTTGAATCCGCAAATACATTCAGTTGTCATCTGAACATATTTGTCTTCCATTGCAAAAGCTACCTTTCTGTATTCTTTGGTGTCATCTTTAGTCTGTTGGGTTCTGTAAAATAGACTTGATAAATCTGTACATGAGGTGGATACATCATAATGGAATTTCAACTGAAATGGATGCTTGTGTAAATGTTCTTGATATTGCATAAATTCCAGTCCTCCCTTTTGGATAGCATCCAAGGCACGTTGTTGCTCTAATGCTGATGGAGAACCTGACTGTACAATTTCACTTGACCTAGGCTGAGTACTTATTGGATGGCAAGGACAAAACTGCTGCTGGTTAGGGCTTTCTGCAGGGAAACTAAAAATTACCCCTCCAGGAACAATCCGTTTTTGTGCTGCTTGAATTGGTATATTTTGTGCAAAACAAGCGCTTGGTTCTACACCAATGATTGCAGTGTTGAGAACATCCGATATTCTTCTCTCTTGTTCTTGTGAAACAATCACATTTTGACCTAGTATACTTGTGGGTGCGAAATTTTTAAATGATTCATTGTAAACATTACTGCTTGTTGAATAAAATGGACTATTTTGATACATCGCGATGAACAGAAATTTGAAATATGTCGTTTTTGATATTTGATGTAATGCTATATCTGTGTGGATGTCAGTAAATGGAATTATTTTACTGAAAGTTTTAAATTTCAATTCCTGGAATATGACAGTTTCAGTTTTGTTAAATGTCACGTCTATATTTTCTTGCCTGCGGTGCGGTTGTTCGATTTAGGCCTGTAGGAAGTTATTGACAGGCCATTGGTTCATGTTATGTCGTACTCTGCCATAAAAGACCTGAGATCTAGAATAGTATATTATTTAACGAGCGTATTATGAAGGCCATAATAAACGAGGATGATTTATAAAACGAGCCGCTTGCGGCGAGTGTTATAATCATCTGAGTTTATTATGGTCCATAATACTCGAGTCAAATACTATACTTTATCTACAACCATCCACTTATATAGGGTACCTCACCGGAATTGAAATGTGTCATTTTATTGTGAAAAAAAACTATACATGGGAGAAACCTGAAAATTCGGTAGGAAGCTAATGCTGATGGCAGAGCAATTCAGCTAGAATATTCTCAAGATGGTGGCACTTCCGGTTAGGCCGGAAGTGGATGTTAACTTGCTTTATATGAAATGGAACATAATATCATACATTTTTAGATTCTACCATTCACTCAATATCAACACTGGTTACTGTTTATGTATGCTGTTTATGTTATATGTTTATGTGTTATGAGTTGTGATGTAATAAGGAATAAATTCAATGAAAGTCCTGGATTGAACATTTAATAAGTTTAATAATATTTAATTAACATTTACACTTCAGCACACAATTATTTTTAAATTGACGCTTAATAGGATCATTATGTATTACTCTGTCTATTTCATAAAATTGATTGTTATATTAGGGCAGTTATTGAAATTCATCGTAGTTGGTGTAGTACCAATACTAATGTCCGTGGTGTCTTTACTAATCGAAAAAGTGTTATGAGAAGATTCGCTCGTAATAGTAGACATACCTGGATATTGTGAGGGGGTAGAAACAAAAGTACTGTTATTAATATTACAATTAGGGTTGATTTGACTTAATATTTTAGTAGCTGCATCGGTCTTGTTCTTCTGCGAGTCTGCAATATAGCCTTCAGCTACAGAAGCCGACTTCCAGCCTCCGTGGCGCTTCAGAGCTGTCATACTTGCCCCTGCGTCGACATACAATGTGGCTGAAGATCGTCGTAGACAGTGCCCGGTATATCTTTCTGGGTTTTTGATTTGTAAGAAACTTGCAATTTCTCTGCCCATTTTGGCAAACTTGTTAATGCCGATAACTTGTTTTGTGCATTTTCCATTTTGAAAATTCATAAAAAAAGAATCTGATGCATTTGGCAGTCTCAGATTTGCATATTTTTTAACAATATCATGGAACTTCTCAGTAATAGTAAAATTCCTAGGGATCTTGGTCTTCGTAACGGGAACTATTACTCTAGTGCAACCTTCATAAAATGTAACGTGTTGTATTTTCATTGCATGTAGTTCATTTGAGCGGCATGCACCCATCACTCCCATAATTAATGCAACCTAAAAAATTAACACCTCTTGGTAAATACCGTAGGTATGTAACGTCTTATCATTCCTTACCTTTGTAGCCAAATATTTTGTATCAGGAGCTTCATAAATAAATTTATTTATTTCCTGTCCGGTAAATGCCTTAGATTTTTTGGGTTGATAGCCTTCTGATTGTCTTTTTAATAAAGCATGTAGCTTCGCGTAGTGGTCGATCTTGACATTGTGTTTAATATAAAGTGTGCTTTTCAGCATGGAATAAAACGTCCACAAGGAGGACGACTTATACTTTTTAGCCAATTCTTTGAAATACACTAATAATGTATCTTCAGAGAAGGAGGTGGCCTTGTTTCTTGATCGCCAATCCATGAAATTGTTGTAGGCAATTTCATAATTGTTTCTTGATTTCTTGGGAAGTAAATCCAGAGACGCAGCTTCCGCTGCCGCTCGAATTTCCGGGGGTGTTAGTACTTCGTTTTCAGAATCCATTTTTATTAAATCTTATGTTTTAATTGCAAGGCGAAATTTTAAAGCTTCTCTATATGAATATTATTTACTTTACAATTATTATTTCATGAAAGAAAATGTTTGTATTCACGATGAGCGTCGCGTCGGGTAAGCTGTCGCTATGGATACCCGCTGCGCGCTGTCAGATTTAGCCTGCACGGCCTACTAATTCTTTTTAATTATTGTCATATTGGTTTGTATTTTTTGAACTGTTTTTGAATAATAGAATTGAATTGGTAACGTGTGTATGACTTTAATATGGGTAACTTTATAGTAAATTTTCATAAAAATAATAAATGAAATGTGTGAATTCTGCGCCGATTAATTGAAGCCCGGATTATTAAGAATTCCAGAATATTTTATTACACTTGTTGTTTTATGATATAATTACACTTGTTTTTTTATGATATAATTACACTTGTTGTATTATGCGTAGCATAATACTCTCACTGTCAGAAGTATTATGCGTCTATTATTAAATGGTTGTAGATAAACTATATTTATAATTTTGTTATAGAAAAGATATTTTTTCGAAGTTAAGAATAATTGTGTCATGTCATCTTATTGTAATATCGTTAAAACCTTAATACGAAGAACGATATTGTAGTTTTCTCACCAAATTAACAAAAAAATTTTGATTTTTGATCGTAGCATAAAAAGAAAACCAAGAAGTATAACAGTCTAGACTTAGATTCAATGCAATAAAAAAAATTACAAAATTTATTTCACCAAGTAAATATCGGCAACGTGTTTCATCTTATAGAAGTGGGTAAATGAAATTTTCGGGAGTATTTACATATTTTATTATTCGGTATCCTCTTATCTGAACGATAAAAATGAAATTTTCTATAAATGGTACGAAAATAACAGTGTCGTTTCAAAACACATTAAGTGATTTCCACAAAGCATACAAAAGACTGTTGAAGTAAGTTGTTGATGTTGAAATTTTAATTTTCGTTAGCCCGATTTGTCGAGTCGTTACAATCTGGCTTAAATGACAAATTACTTAATTAATTCATTTAAAGGTTAAATAGAGAAAGTCAGCCCTAGTACTACATTTTTTAAAGATATCTTGCACTAGTGATGGCGATTTTCCTAATGTAACGTAGTATAAACACTAATCGATTTTAAAATAAAAATTGATTTTCTTTACTTTTTCATTTTGATTTAAATTGAATTTTGGGGACAAAGTTGAAAATAATTTCATGTTTCGAAAAGTTTTTCAAATTAAAAAAATAACGATTTGTCTACAGTTATTAACCTTTATATGGACATATACAAAATGATAAAAAAAATTCCGCTACAGTTCCAGGAATACGGTATGCACTTTTTCCTCTGCAGCTTATTTCCCGAAGTAATTAATAATAGTGTGCAAAAATAAACGTTTATAATTTATGAATATGGGGTTAAAAAACCTATCAACCTATCATATAAAATTATAATAATTTATGAAACCTATTAGTTATTATATAGTTATAAAAATGATCTTTTTTAACAGATTACAATCTTTTATTATTGGTTCTCAAAAACTATAATGTTACTTTTCATCACTCCATATTTTATGACTTAAATTATAAATAAACTAAGGGCGATATTAGTTGCTCAGGAGAATAAGACTCCTATTGAAAACTCATAGTTTGTACTACTTTATACATTCTGATATTAAATTTTAATGGTAGATCGGAATGAAGAACAGAGTGTGGTCATTGCTCATTGGCGTTCAGCTTATACGATCGGCTTACTCCTACCGTTACGGTCATGGACCTCCCGTAGAACAGTTCGAAGTATCAAACTCATCCGGGGACCCGCTGATTTTAACCCCCTTATTAGAAAATAATCAAATTCAAGAAGCCCAACAGGCCGCACAAGTGAACTACTCCGGATTTCAAGATATTGTCAGCTACGCGGCTTATTTCACAGTCGACAATGTCCACAACTCTAATCTCTGGTTTTGGTACTTCCCGTCTGAAAATGATACCAAAAATGACCCAGTGGTTCTATGGTTACAGGGTGGACCTGGATCATCGAGTTTATTTGCGCTGTTCACAGAAAACGGCCCTTTCAAAGTGGATGCCAATTTGAACGTGAGCATTAGAGAAATTCATTGGTCTATCTCCCATTCGGTCCTTTACATCGACAATCCTGTCGGTACAGGATTCAGTTTCACTAATGACGACGGATACGCTCAAAACGAGACCAAAGTCGGCAGCGATTTGTACAGCGCGCTAGTACAGTTCTTCACGTTGTTTCCCGATCTTCAACAGAACGACTTTTACATTTCCGGCGAGTCTTATGCTGGAAAATACGTACCGGCGCTCGCTCGTACCATTCACCAAAATAACCCATCCGCTACCCTCAAAATTAATTTGAAGGGGCTGCTGATAGGCAATGGATGGACCGATCCAGTCAATCAGTTAGATTACGGCGAGTACCTTTATCAAGCCGGAATTTTTGACGTACACGACAAGGCGACCATGGACGGATACGAGGCAGAGGCAAAAAGGCTTATAGAGGCTGGTCAATTTGTAGACGCTGTTAACTACACGGACAACCTTATTTTAGATGCTATATCAAACGTCGGAATTGCTGACATTTACAATTACCTGAATATTGAAGCTGATCCCAACGAACGCAAGTACGAGCAATTCGTTCAAACTGTCGTACGCGATGAATTGCACGTCGGCGGTACAGTGTTTGATAACGGCGACAATGCTTACGACAATCTAAAAAACGATAGCACTCAAAGCGTAGCGCCTTGGGTTGAAGAACTACTCTCGGAATATCCGATACTTTTGTACAGCGGGCAAGTAGATACTGTGTGTCCGTATCCCCTAATGGTGAATTACATCCAAAAACTGAACTTCAGTGCTGCCCAGGAGTATCAATCCGCCCTGCGGCAAATTTGGACCATCGATAGCGACGTTGCCGGATATATAAAAACGGCTGGCAATTTGACTGAACTTTTTGTTCGCGATGCCGGTCATTATGTCGCAAGGGACCAGGCAAAATGGGCGCTAAATTTCGTTACTAGGTTTACGAGAGGTCTGCCTATACAAGATGACGATAATTAAACATGTAAAGCTAGATTTAAGTAAACTTTATTGTGGACTCGTCGTTTTATTTAAGGCGTAACATGAAATATACTTTTTTTACTCTAAAACATGCAATTACGCGTGCGCCAAGTATCACTTTAAGACGGCGTCATTAAACACTGTCGCAAGCCATTTCGGGCGTTTTCAGTACTTTACTCACAGGTTTGGGAGCGATAGATTGCAACACGTTGATAAACTTCTTCAGTCATTCGTTTACTAAACACTCGCTCCGCTTTGCCTAAATCAAACCGGTTTAAATTATTAAAATACGGATCGCGACCAATAGAAAATATAAACTTCACAGTGCCAACATTTTTTTTTCAGTGGTTCTGAGAAATATGTAACCGAGTGAGCCGTTTCCCGTTGACTTTTTGAAATTTTTTTAAATATTAAACTATAGCTTATCATATTTATAGACACGAAGAAAATTAGTATTCCTTATCTCAATAAGTATGATACTGAGGAAAAAAAATTAAATATAGAAAGTGTTTGACCCTAAGTATATATTATATTTTTTATAAAACTTCTGGATTCCTTCTGCATCGATTTTTGTTGAGTCGAACTAGCCAACGTTTCGCCAATCATCCTGTTGGTTTCTTCGGAGCTTGACTGAAATTGGCTCGCATTTTACTCTGTACCGGCTAGTGTAACTAAAATTGGAAATTTTTATCATGGCTCCATGAAAGTGGTTAATATTTAATGCTTTGACTACGTTTTTTCTAATTAAAAAAACTCAATTGCCCACATGTTCAAAATCAAAACATTTATTTTTTCGAAAACTCGAGTATATCAGGTGCGCTATATTATTGGATAGGTAATTTTTAGTTCAGAAACACAAAATTTTCGGTAGCAAAAGAGTTACAGGGATTTTAAAAATAATGAAAACTTTAAAACGCTAATCATTATGTTTTTTAACCCCACATCAGTTGCCGTCTTTTAAAACAATATGTGTGTTAATTTACTATATAACTCCTATGAAAATGAATATTTAATTTTAGAACCTATACCATTGGGCTAAAATTTTGAAGATTAATGTGTAAAATAAATGGAACCTGTATAAAGGAGATAAAATGAAGTCAAGATTTTGACAAATTAAAAGTTCAATTAAAGACTCCCGAACTACTAATATATTTATTGAATCGCAAATTCATTTAAAATTAAATTACAAGTGTTTCGCAAGAGTAGTTTAGCGATTAAAATCATGTCCAGAAAGTAACGAAATCGGAAGAGTTGACTACTGGTTTTCCCAAGCTACTGGTAGTGCACCAGGTGAAGCGAAAGCCTTCTTTAATACAGCATAAAGGTATGCGTCTACTGAAATGAATAAATATTTCCTTCAATAAATTCCAAAAACTAAAATAGGAAATTAATTCCATCAAGCATTTAAAGTATTTTTAATTATGAAATTATATTAACTATTATTTTTGACAATATTGGTACTGGTAGAATACTTCAACCATATTGATAAGGAACTAAACCTTTGTTTTCCTTATCGGGTGACTTTGAATTTATTTAAATAAATCGGCCAGCTGACAATACCACGTGCGGGCTGATTTACCTTCATGATTGACGTAAGAGCTCGAAAAGCTGTGCATGTGTCTGTGGAACCTGCTGTTTGCAATACGTGGTGATGGGGGAACCTGAAATTTCTGTTGGTGGGATTTGCAAAATATATTTCCTCATCTGATAAATATTGATATTTCATGCATGCCTAGCGACATCCTAGAGCATATCTTAAATATACGTACATACATCGTATGTACTTTTTATTTCTTTCTGCCTCCTGATTATTATAAAACAGTACGGACCATTTCAATTGCATGTATAATTGTTGACGCAACGCAATATTAAGGTATGTGCTACACAATTTTTAGAGAAGATGTCGTTGTACAGCTTTAAAACTTCAAATGCATTCAGGGTTGATCAGCCAATGGAACTAAATCAACTTTTTAAAATTATTTTATAAAAGATCATTTCTCGTAATTGGTTATAGGAAAACACAGTAATTCTAATTTCAAGGCTTCATCTGGATCTGACTGTGTATATTTAACTAAATGAGGTATTTATTTTAGATAAAAGTTTGTCATTATTGTATTGGAAGTTTATGACCCCGTCATGTTGCATTTAGTGTGCAGCAGTACCTAGCGATCGTCGACCACAGGTGAAAGGAAAAGCCGAACTCTGAGCAAGATTGTACAAGTATTGCCAATAGGGCAGCCAGTCCGATATATGCCATATATATTCCGTCAACAGTTCTAATAATATGTCCCAAAAAAGGTGCGGTTATAAGATGGCGGCCAAATTAATCAGACTGCAGGAGTAGAAAAACACATCTTCATAAAATAACGGTTTTTATTCGAATAAAAATGTTCTACAAAGACCCCAGAGATCCGAGAAGCATCTAAGATGCGAAAAATATCAGAGATGTTTTAAGATTATTGTCATTTGGATGCCGCAATTGGTTATTTGCTGTTTTGCGATTTTTTCAACTCGAGGAGTACCTTACTTCTAAATATTAATTGAACTGTTATTTAAAATAACTTTGCCTTCGTGTGGCGTAACCAGTTACGATTATCTTTATTTTAGTTTTCATAGGTATACTTATGGTCCCATAGAATAGGATAAACTGAACCAAATTGAACTTGTGAATCAATGATCGTGTCTCCTTTTTCAATAGTTTTCCAATAGTTTGGCTACAATAGTATTTTCGTTCGGCTAGTTAAAATATTGCTTCAAATACATTTTTCCAACAAAATAAAATTTGATTAGATTAGTCTTGAGACAAACTTTCCATAATCTATGTATAGTGTTTGTCACTGTGGTCGGTTCTACCCGAAGTGGCCATTAACCAGAAGTGGTACGAAATTGAAAATATTTGAAAACGAAAGAGATAAACTTGGGTTGCAAAAATTTAGCCACAATTTATTTTATCCACCAAAAATAACGTACGGTTATAGTGAGAAAACCTGTATAAGTAAAATCCAAATTCGCTTGATAATGACTCGATTTTATTATCTCAAAACAAATGTCAACAAACAAGTGCATATTAATTTGTACTGGCAAATGCAAATGGCACTTAGCGCAGTAATTCCCGATTATAACTGTAAGTTTCTCTTGCGCAGGCAGAGTTGATCTGAGAGAGGAAACGTGTTTACTACTGAAACATTTTTTACAGTATCTTATCCAAAGTGGAAGGTCGAATCATTCGATAATTTTGGTGAGAATTAGAAAATCTTATTAACTTAGGTGTTTGCTTTCCTTTATCGCACTTATCATGCTGTAGGAGGGAACGTTAAATTGAGTTATAAATTACTGGTCAAACACACATTTAATTAATTGTCAATTGCGACTAATATCGTATGGTGAGTGCAAATAATGTATTTATTTAATAGTCTCATAGCAATAACTTTGAACAGAATTCCTGACAAGTCTTAAGGGACATTAAGAATCGAAACATCAAATCTAAAAGGGAATTCATAAAGAATGGGCAGTTTCTAGACTAGAGGTACTAAATACGAAAATATTATTTTTGACTTTTAATGTTTTAATTTCATTCTTAATTTTTTCAAGTTTTTATGGTATAATAATTAAAATTATAGTATTTACATTATTTATTTATTAATCAAAAAATTAAAAATTCAAAAACCTTTTTTCATATTTTTGTATAAATACTTAAGAGATGTCAAGTTACCGGAAGCAATAAAAGAACAACATTTAACAATAACAGTTTTGGAAATAGTAATAAAAAAAAAATTAAAATCATATGCTGGGATTTTATAATATTTTCAGCTCTAGTATCTCCAGTTTAGTGATTCTATTTGTGTATATCAGATTTTTCGATTCCCAATGTCATTTTATTGTTGGTGGCCTTTCAGCGCTTTTGAAGGATAGACCAAGAAATTATGTTCGTATCATAGGCGCTAGGGCGCGCAACACAATTTGTGATTGAATATCGCAAATAAAAATTTTAACCACATGAAATATTGAAAATATTTGTCTCAGAATGGTGCCTTTATAAAAACAAACAATTGCATAACATTATTCATTATCAAATTGCTAGAACCATCAATTGTTAAAATATTATCAAGGACCGAAAACGCCAGAAATGGCTTGTCACAGTGTTAATCCAACTTACTTTTTAAAGTGATACTTTGTTCACACCTGATCAATGCATAATTGGGTATTTTAGAGTGGCAAGTAGAAAAAATATTTTGCAAAATATGTTTTTTTTTTCAATATATTTCAATAAATTATCATCATCATTCGGAGTATGGGCAATCAGATACTGTAGTTTCACAGTATGCCGCAGTTGGCCTTAAATAATAAAAATTATTCAATGAATTATATTTTTACCTCTACCAATTATATTTCTCGCACACTCGATATATTTTTTAAATGTTCTTAGCACATGTTCTAACTACCTCCAATATTGTATATACCTCTTTATAGCGCCTCTGCAGCTGCAAATATTTAACATAAAACGTTTTACTTTATATTTTATTTAGTACATTCAGTAACTTTAAACATTTTTTGTTTTTTAGGAAAAATGGTGAACGGTCTTTGGTCGGTATTTATTGCTATCCAGTTGGTCCATAGCAGCAATTGTTACGTATTTAATCACGCCCCGCCCGTTCGGCAGTTTAAAATAAGAGACGATGTTGGGGATCCATTGATTTTAACTCCATATTTGGAGCAGAATCAGATTGAAGAAGCTCGGCAAGCAGCGCTGGTCAATTACGGCGGCTTTCAAGATATCGTAAGCTACGCAGGCTACTTTACCGTTGACAAAGCGTATAACTCAAACCAATGGTTTTGGTTTTTCCCATCTGAAAATGACTACGAAAATGACCCAGTCCTGTTGTGGTTGCAAGGTGGCCCAGGATCTTCCAGTTTATTTGCATTATTTACCGAAAACGGACCCTTTATCATCGACGGAGATTTGAATGTCACCATTCGGGAAATATACTGGTCGCAGTTTCATTCGGTGCTTTATATAGATAATCCGGTTGGCTCCGGATTTAGTTTTACCGATGAGGACGGGTACGCGCAGAATGAAACTAAAGTTGGCAGCGACTTGTACAACTCGTTGTTGCAGTTCTTTACGCTGTTTCCGGAACTTCAAAATAACGACTTCTTCCTTACAGGGGAGTCGTATGCGGGAAAATACGTGCCAGCTATCGGATATACCATTCATCAAAACAATCCGACGGCCGATTTGAAAATAAACTTGAAAGGGCTGATTATAGGCAATGGATGGACCGACCCCGTCAATCAACTGGATTACGGCGAATATCTGTACCAAGTCGGATTGTTAGATGTTCACCAAAGAGCAATTATGGACGGGTACAAACAAGCAGCTCTAGAAAATATTTTAGTTGGTGATTTCGCAAACGCAACCAATTACGCAAACCGCGCATTACTGTTTGGAATAAGCGAACTCGCCGAAATCGCAGACATATACAATTATCTCAATGTCAGAGTTGATCCGAACGAGAGAAAATACGAGGAGTTTGTACAAACTGTTGTGCGCAAAGAAATACATGTCGGCGATACAGTTTACGGCAACGGTAACGATGTTTACGATAACCTTTGGGAAGATATCCCCCAAAGTGTAGCACCTTGGCTATCTGAACTACTGTCGCATTACTCGGTGCTGTTGTTTAATGGACAAACTGATACTGTATGTCCATATCCCCCGATGGTCAACTACATATCCAAACTAAACTTCAGCGCAGCGGAAGAATATAAAACTGCTGCGCGGGAATATTGGGTTATCGACGACGAAGTTGTCGGTTACATAAAGACCGCTGGAAATTTGACGGAGCTTTTTGTCAGAGACGCCGGGCATTACGTACCTCGGGATCAGCCCAAGTGGACAATAAGCTTTGTTTCGCGATTTGCGAGGGGTCTGCCCATAAACGAGGATGAATGAAAAACTGTTTTACTGTAAAGATCATTCGGGAGTGTACTGAAATAAAACTCCATTTATTTATAACTCGTTAATTTAAAATACGAAAAACGACTGCACTTACCAACTTAATCAAGTTAATCTCAAATATGTGTTCAAAATTTGTCTCACCGTTGGAAACTTCAGGGTGCCTCATGCTGGTGCAACATTACGTAGTGGTTATTCTGGTAATACAATTTGCCTGGTAAATTTTTCTACAAGCAACTTGACTCTCCATCTGAGGTGGTGAACCAATATAACACAAATAAATTAACAAATAACGCAATAACTCAGCTGGTAATGTAAACGATACTGTTGAGTTTTTTACCGTGATCTCTAGATGGCGTTTTTATATGTTTTATAATTTTGCTTTAAAGACTCAAATATGAACGGTATTCAACTTTTCATTCTTATTTCTCTAAATTAGAACAGCATATGGTTTCAATATGAGGGTGTTCTACCTCACGAATCCTGAGCAACACTATCAAGGTCACTGGATATGGAAACCTTCGACACATTTTTGAATTTCAAAATATCAAACGTTAGTAGGGTGCTTCAGCGTTAGGATGCAGAAAAGTGCCCTTCGGTACTTGATAACCAACCAAAAATTCGTATTTCTCATCAATTTCGACTCTTAAGTTTAACCAACAATAACCAAAAATGAAGGTTCTATAGTAAAAATGAGATTTTTTGTAACTTTGTGATTTAGATTTAAGAAAATTCTGATTAGCGTAATTGTTAATAATATGTAACCCTTAATTTTGTCACTGTTTCTAGATTACAGTTAAAACTCTTCTAAATGATATATGTTTTATTTTGTAATTTGCAATTTGTCGGCTAACTATCTAAGTAGCTAACCAAACATTACAGTTTACATTACTGTTAACTTAAAAGTGATTTACTAAGAGGCATTACAATTAACGAATACAAAGTAATACAGAGTAATAAAATTATATATACTTATATAATTTTATTATATATATTATTACGCACAGATAAATTTGGAGTAGAGTAAAATTACATTCTAACATCTTAAATTTTAACCATGGTTAATTATTATAATAATCCTTTGTCATAGCCCTTAAGTTTAGGTTTATCTGATATTAGAATCGATATTTTTATCGCCTGGCGACAAATAAAATCACAATATTATTCAAAATCTTATTTTTGGATAAACAATATAATTAATCGATTATATCAAATTAACATGTAAATGTACCACATTATGTTGCAGTCGGCACTTGCAAGATAGCAATAAGTTAAGTAACCTATTTTTGCAAATTATTACTTACCGCTAATATTGCAAAAAATCTTCAATAAAAGTTAAAGGGTGTCCCAAAGTCGATGGAACATTAGGCAATTTAGGAAAACGGGAATTTGCTACATATTTGGTCACTGAGGTTTTTGACTCTAGTCCATCGATGTAAAATTTTCATTGTCGCAGTGTTGCCGCTTCTATCTATATTTCTGGCTGAAATAGTCATCAATTTAAATTTTTATTGTTGACCAAACATCTCGAAATTTTAAGGAAAAATGTCAGTGATTTTTTGGACAAATTTTCATTGGAATAATTGCAGATCTCTTGGATCTTGGTCGGTGGAGCACAAGCTCCCTGTTTGAAGGAAGTTACAGAAGAATTGTTTGAAATATTTGAGGAATCGGTGGTTGAGAATATATATACCAGATCGCGTGACCTCATGCCACTGTATTTCTACCAACCAACCAACCAAAAAAACTGCAATCCTCCGCATAGAATAGAATGATGATGATGAATGAATTTTAAAATATTTGGAAAATGCAGGTCATTTTCAACATTTGCTTTCAATTAGAATAGCTTTCGTTTCATAGTTTTTGTTCTGACAATTTGGACACAATATCTATGAACAGTAAATAATTTCGCGCTTTTAATCCTTTTGAATATTCTATGTTACACTTTTCAAAAATTTGACTTTTTGCCAATTTATAAGTTCTTGAAACGGTAAAATCATGATTTTATAAACACCTTGTACATTGCACGAGGCACTATTCTACAGGAGATTAGTAACCGGGATATTGACAAACTACAGCATTCTAAGTATTCAAGTATCCCGGCAATAACAATTTAAATAGGGATCTATTTTAAATGAAAAATATAGAAATCAATTATCATCTCGAAAACCGTTAGTCAGAAAGTGGCAGTGGTTCGAAACAATATACGCGGCGTCCTATATAAAAAATAGAGGCAGCAACACTGCGTTACTAAAAATATTTTAGGTGGATATTGCCTAAAATCCGGTTTAAGAACAACACCCCTCATTCTTTTCCGTGATAAAATATATTTTTTTTAATAATAAGACTTATTGATTAATCAAATGAGAAATGACTGACAGTCTATATCTTAGCAAGACTATTTTAAATTAATAATTAAGAAATTTCATTTTTTTTTCTCACAATCAAAGAAAAAAAGTATATAGAAAATGCCATACATTGTTTTAGGCAACAACACGTGTCAACCAGGTGTAAACAGGTAATCGGATGTAGTGATTTACCCTCATTCTTTTTCTTTAAAAATTAAATATGTAAATATACAGAATTTTATTACGAACCCAACGATATATGATAGACTTTACAAATCGTGTCAAAGCTAATGATTGACACGATCTAAAGTTTCAATAATTTCATGTAAAAATAAAGCGTGACTGCGAGCGCTATATCTTTTTTCATGTACGGCAGAGAAGGATGTACAATAACAGCCTCGCATAAGACTCTTGCCAGAAAAAGAAAGGCGTGTGTTCAGTTCTCTGTGTATAAGAGAAAGATAAATATATTCCCCCCCTTAAAATTATTTTGGAGCTTTACCGCCGAAGTCTACCGGCGTTCCACGCTTTTACAGGCTGCGACTATACTGCAGCTGCAGCTAGATAGTTATTGTACATCCTTCTCTGCCGTACATGAAAAAAGATATAGCGCTCGCAGTCACACTTTATTTTTACATGAAATTATTGAAACTTTAGATCGTGTCAATCATTAGCTTCGCCACGATTTGGAAAGTCAATCATATATCGTTGGGTTCGTAAAAAAATTCTGTATATTTATATATATATATATATATATATATATATATATATATATATATATATATATATATATATATATATATATATATATATATATATATATATATATATATATATTTTTTAAAGAAAAAGAATTATGGTAAATCACTACATCTGATTACCTGTTTACACCTGGTTGGCACGTATTGTTGCCTAAAAAGGGTATTCAAACATTGTATGGCATTTTCTATATAATTTTTTTCTTTGATTGAGACTAAATTTATAAAGAAAAATTCTGACGGTAACCAATAAAAAAAATAAAATTAATTACTTTTTAATTAAAAATAGTGTTGCTAAGATATAGACTGTCAATCATTGCTCATTTGATTAATCAATAAGTTTTATTATTAAAAAAAAATATTTTATCACGGAAAAGAATGAGGGGTGTTGTTCTTAAACCGGATCCTCTACTAACAGATCATAGTCATCAATCATCATAGTCTTCCTTCCGTGTTCCGCTTTGTATAAGCTTATATGTTATATGAAACATCCTATATAATAAAAAAATATTTTTATAAAGCTTATCTTGGAATTTAAGGCAACATCTTTTCAAATTGTGATAAACACCTAACGTGTAGTATTTTGATGTTTAAATAGAATTCTACATCAGAATGTAAACTCATTTCCCAGTGGGAGTATTTGATATGCAGCTCTATCGAATTGGAATGTTATCTAGCCAAACCACTTCAATTGTTAGATAATCGCAATATATACCATACAAATCTTTAATTAGGTTTATCGAAGTCCAACATTGTAATGAGCAACATCGGAAGATAAGTGAGTATTGTTATTGTAATTGTATTGTTATGTATGTTGAATTCGTTTGTTGTAGATGAGCACAAAATGGTGAAATACGTCATTATTATATTTATCACGCTTCAGCTGGTTCAGCCATTTTATGCCTATCGCTACAAACTTCACAAGCCTCCGAAACGGTATCCAATACCGCAGGATGCGGACGATCCGCTGATTTTAACTCCGTTCCTGGAACAAAATCAAATTCTAGAAGCGCAACAAGCTGCTGTGGTAAACTACGCTGGATTTAAAAACATCACTAGTTATTCCGGATTCTTTACGGTGGATAAGAGATTTAACTCTAACCATTTCTTTTGGTTCTTTCCTTCTGAGAACGACTACAAAAATGACCCGGTAGTGTTGTGGTTACAGGGTGGCCCAGGAGCATCTAGTTTATTCGCCCTCTTCAACGAAAATGGTCCCTTTATTATCGGAGAAGATTTAAATGTGACCATCAGGGACGTTTACTGGTCGCAGTCGCATTCAGTACTTTACATTGACAATCCGGTAGGTACCGGCTTCAGTTTTAACGACGAGGGTGGGTATGCACAAAACGAGACTAAAGTGGGTAGTGATTTATACAGTTCCGTAACCCAGTTCTTTACCTTATTTCCTGAGCTACAAGCGAACGAATTTTACATCTCCGGCGAATCGTACGCTGGAAAATATGTGCCTGCTCTAGCGTATACGATACACAAAAATAATCCCACTGCTGATCTGAAAATAAATCTAAATGGTTTGCTGATCGGAAACGGCTGGACGGATCCTTATAATCAGCTCGACTACGGTGAGTTCTTGTACCAAGTAGGATTATATGACGAAAGCCAAAAAGAAGTTCTGGACGGGTACAAGGTCTTAGCTCAGAAATATATAGATGAGGGAGATTATCTAAGAGCAACAAATTACACTGACTTTGCCATATTGGGTGATATCGCCACCGTAACAGGAATTCCAAATGTGTACAACTTTGCCGATGTTGATTCCGCACCTCTCGACGGTCCGTACGAGGAATTTGTTCAGACAGTTGCGCGATCGTCGATACACGTAGGTGATATAGGATTTGGCGACGATGAAGTTTACGATAACCTTGAAGCAGACAGTAGTCAAAATGTAGCGCCTTGGTTGGCTGAACTGCTCAGCTACTACCGCGTGTTAATATTCGTCGGACAATTGGATACCGTTTGTCCTTATCCAGGAGTTGTCAACTACCTTAAACAGTTGAACTTTAGCGCTGCAGCAGAGTATAAATCGGCTTCAAGGGAAGTATGGTTTGTTGATAACGATGTGGCAGGGTATTATAAACGTGCTGGAAATTTAACGGAACTGCTCGTTAGAAGCGCAGGCCATATGGTACCGACTGACCAACCAGAATGGGCGTTCAATTTCTTATATAGGTTTACGAGAGGATTGTCCTTGAATGATGATAGCAAACCTGTTAAAGTTTTGTAGAAAATAAAAACGAATCAATCTGATGTCTCTTTTTGACTAAGTTGATTTTCAATTTAACACTGCCTAATGACTGATATAGATTAAACTTTTTAAAATTTAACGTAATCACGAATGATATAGCCGAAACTTGTTGATTTTTACGTAATCTAACTTCAAACAGAATCAACAAAAAATAAACATGTTTTCGCAGCAATTGTAAGGTGTGTTTAATGAACAAAGGCACATGTCATATTTATTCTTCTTCTTTTTTTCTTCGAATTATTGAGTTGCATATTTGTGATAAAAAGAAATTATACTCTATTATGTTGAAAATTGCGAATTCATTTTCAATAAAACATACATTCCCATAAAATTTATTAGTGTTAAATATAACCAGAATTTCAATCAGCACTGGTAGACAGAGCAGAAAAAATATTTATTATTATTTATATTTAAATTGTGTTGTTTTATTTTTTGATGAGAAAAAAAAAGAAATTCGTTTTCAACTTAAAGGAAAACTAGTCTTTCTTTTTCCTCTTTAGATGGATTTATTCAACTTAACCATCACGTTCTGCTTTAGGAATGCAAACGAATATTTAATATAATAATCTAATAAATATGAATTCTCAATAACGATTAACAAAACTACGATATACTAACTTGTAATGAGTGCTGCTGTTCAAAGTAATAAATTAAAAAGGATAATTCTCTGAGATTTGCCAACTTATTTGATGGGCAGGAAAAATAATTTTGTTTAAGTTTTAATGTGTGAACTCTTTAAGAAATGCTAAAAATATTAGTGTAAACCTTCTATTGTCCCGAGAAACACCAAGCTTATAAATTTCAAGAAAAATTAGTTGATTTGAAACTTCTAGCACACCTTAAATATTAAAGCATCATTTTCGGATACGACATGCTGACGTATGTCCCATTATTCATGAATAAATCCGTATTGGTCACCTTAAAGACAATGTCCTATACACCTTTTTTGGTTAGTTTGAAGCACTTGAGTTAACTCTAGCAGAACAAAAATTAGAACATCATCTGATGGTAGTCATACTTAATTATTAAACTTCCGTATAACTTAGTGTAATCATTTGTTTAGTTTTTAGAGCCGCTTCGAACATACTTAATTAGAATTACGTTATTTGCACTAAAATAGTTGAAGTGAATTTTAGTCTATTATGCCCGATATTTTCCATTTCTGAATTGGGAGAGTCTACTGAGTTTCACGGAACTACGAACCCTGGTACAGGAACTAAAAATAACTCCCCATAAAAGAGTTATTGTACTTCCTCAAGATTATAAGAATTTTCTGGGGGAGGGCAGGGAACTGCTCGAACTTTCGAGTTTCCGATGCTTACTTGAGGTTGATCGACCATGATTCCCCAGATATAGTCAGAGATTGTCGAACCTCCATTGTCTTTATTTTAGAAGACGAAAATTTAGCAAAATGTGACTTACTTAGCGTATTGTACACTGAAGGTAAAATACCCAACGCAGAGGCCTAAGTTAATATCTGTCAAAATTCAATGTACGTCAACGTTTTCACACGCAAATCGAAGTAAAATATCCGTAACGAAAATGAACATTCAAAAACTTAATAATACGTGTGTCAGGCAATACTGACATCAAAAAGTTTAAATGGTTTTGCCACCTAAAATGAACAAACTTTCCAAGACTTACTCCGATTCCATTCTTAGCGCTTTAATGCATAACCTTAGTAATATAGCTTACGCCTCGAATAATGTTAAAAGTTTTCAAAAGTTCAAAGCATACGTGTTTACGAAATAAATATCAGACCTTTAAAAACGTTTTTAAATATTTCCACATAAAATGATACGAATACTCATGATGCGGAAGTTTGCAGCGCGTAAAGCGTAAACTTTTATATTTTCCTCTCTAAAGTTTATCTCGCAAATTGCTGGAATTATAGTTGCGCGATAGTTCTGCCTGCCTTCATGCTACGGTTTGCTTTATTTGTTTTATTACCGACCTTTGGCGATCCCGGTTTTTGCTAATTTACATAAATCTTTAGGCTTAGGAAAATTTGGAAACTGATATGAAATGCCAAATCAAATATTTTGCTTGAGGAAAATATAACGATTATAAACATGGAATCACCCAGTCATTTCGAGAAAAAAAAAGTCATCGAGCAGTAAAAAGCAGTTTTTCAAAATCGATTTCATTAAAAAAATAAATGAAAATTATTACAATTTTCTTAATACAACAATTAATATAAAGTGTAGATTTCTAAAAAAAAATTCTGAAAATGAAAATTTAACAAGAAATAATTTATAATAATAAAAATAATAATCGACTTTATATATGCATGTATAAATGTACAAACAATATGAATTTATATACACGGCGAAATCTAGCCTAAGGCTATTCAAACTTATCCCTGGTAAACCAGACTAAAACCTAGTTTATGTACATAGCGCATAAAGTTATAAATACACTAATTAAGATAAATTATGAATCATAAAGTGAGTAAACATTTCATTATCTACTGTTCCCAATGCAATAACTATGTATGCTATATTAGAAACTATAATTACTATTTTGCCAAGTAACAGATACCAACAAATAAATAAATTTAAAACAGAAGAATAAAAAAGAGAATTGTATATATCTGTGAAATAACCCATACGTCTCTACTTGCTTGTTAAATAAATAAATTTTGAAAATGGCTTTGAATTTTTCAACATTATGATTTATGAAATCATAAAAATTTTTGTAAGCTACTGTTCTGTGCTTTGGTGTTAAAAATTTTAATTTATTTCTGGTATCTCTGTTATGCATATCAGAGTTCAGCTTGAATTTATTTTAAAGACTTTCTAAATTAAGAAAAGTGCGTTGTGCTAAACCTCGTACAAAACAACCTGAATGATAAGTACCTCGATGAAACATGTTCAACCAGTGAAGTTCATTAATTTTATGTGTTATATAATCCGATTTTCTTTGGTTAAATATCAAACGACAGCAACTATTCTGCACCTTTTGAATGCTATTTTGTACCGACTGTCGAAGACGGGGCTCGCAGATAAAGCTTGCATAACTAAAATGAGAGAGTAGTAATGACTCGCACATCTTGGAACTTAAAAAATGACGACTGTAGCAAAGTTGCTTAAGTGAGATATATGGCCTTTGGATAAGAATTTTAATATGTTCGGCAAAGAGTAAATTGAATTGAAATTGAAATTGTGAACATCAAATTTGACAATAAGAAGTCTATGTTTGTCTTCTTACGAAATAGCACTCGTTTGTACAAATATATTTGAGAGTTTGGAATATTTTCCATAATTTTAGAAAATGCTGGACGGATGGCTATAATGCGCAGATCGTTTAGAGTTGTCGGTGTTTTGGTTTTGGGTAAAGGAATTCCGATATATATATATATATATATATATATATATATATATATATATATATATATATATATATATATATATATATATATATATATATATATATATATATATATATAATAAAATCATGATTTTTTTCTTAGGTATATATTATAGTCCGTTACGTAAAACAAAAGAAGAAAGTTTGTAATTCATAATAAATTTATTTAACGTTTCGACCGATGTATTCGGTCTTTTTCAAAAAAATTGAAAGGGTTTTATACAAGGCAACGAGAACAATCGAACTCACCCTAATTTTGAAATCGGTGTAGAAATAAAAACATTTAGATACAACACACGATGGCACGATTTAAAATTGTAGAAATAAAACTGTACATATAAAATTGTAAAACCAACAAAACAGCTATTCACACACACTGTAGTGAAACTAAACATTCATTCGATTTTCAAAATGTAAAGATACTGAAGACAGAGCCTAATACTAAAAAAAAAGAACTCTACGAATCGATAGAAATTCAAAAAAACAAAAAATCCATAAACTTTAAAACAGACACAAAAGGCCTTAGTAAAATTTACCATACAATTCTAAAAACTAAATTAATAAGGGTAGCTGTTACAAAATTAAATCTAAATTAAAAAAGAAGTAAATAAATAACATCGCCGGGAAAAAAACGTACTATATATGTTCTATATATATATATATATATATATATATATATATATATATATATATATATATATATATATATATATATATATATATATATATATATATATATATCTGCATAACGGGCGCCATGAGAACGGCGCCCACGAAGGCCCTGGAGGCTCTGGTGGGGCTGCCCTCTCTGGCGGATCGGGTGCAGATGGAGGCGGCCAGGACAGCTGTGAGGCTGGCGAGCTGCGGGCTCTGGAGGGAGGGAACCTTCAATCGGGGACCGTACGACATTTTGGAGGGCTGTCGCGGGGATCGCGGGGTCATGGGCATGCCGAGTGACGTCATGATCCCCGAGATGACCTTCTTTGATAAATTGACCTTTCTCTTTCCATCAAGGGAAGATTGGAGAGAGGGCAGAGTCGGCTCCTGGGATGGACTTGTCTGGTACACGGACGGGTCCAGAATGGGAGATCTGGCCGGAGCTGGAGCGTACTGCGAGACAACGGGATCCAGCTTGTCGGTCCCTCTGGGTCAGTACTGCACTGTGTTTCAGGCGGAAATTTTCGCTTTATTGATGGCGGCCAGAGAGGTGCTTCGGCTCAACTACGGAAGCAGGAGAGTCTTCTTCTGCTCGGATAGTAGGGCTGCACTCATGGCGCTGAAGTCAGTGCGTACGCGCTCCTTGTTGATAAAGGAGTGCAAAGGGGTACTGAGGAGGGTGGCTGAGGAGAGAAAGGTCACGTTGGTCTGGGTCCCGGATCACACCGGTATCCGGGGCAATGAGGCAGCGGACGCCTTAGCCAGGGAGGGCTCTTTGCATAGGCATATAGGGCCAGAGCCCCGCTTGGGGATCGCCCCGTGTGTGAGGCGGCGAGCTCTCGAAGCCTGGGCGAGAGACCGGGCCGCGGGGGGCTGGAGAGTTGCTCCGGGATGAGGCAGGCGAGGCTTATGATGTTATGATGAGTGTAGAGCACTAACAGGGGCCTACACAGGACATTGCAGGCTTAG